GAAAACCCCACATTCTACCCACAGCAGACAATGGATTTCTATTCCTAAAATACGATCAGCTATTTCAAGCCTTTGCCCAAGCGAGCTTTTATTTAAGATGTTCTTTCTATGCTTAGAAACTGTCTCTACAACTTATAAGATATAGATCAAACAAGCCTCCTACGTGAAGCCATCTCTGAGTTCTGAAGACCAAGTCGGTCATCCCAGGCTCTCAGAACACAGCACACCCCTCGATTTCTGCTCTCATAATTCGGTTCTATTGTGTGTTTACATGACCATGAGCTCCTTAAGGGCAGAGGCCGTGTCTGATTTATATCTGCCTTCCTCCTGTCCAACCCCCATGCTCAATAAATGTTTGATGAACGACTAAAGAAAAGACTGTTCATCATTGGAAAATTGCTCATCAGAGCCCTGCACATCAGCGTTGCCAAGAGATGTTTTCATCAAATGTGGTTTCTCAGTGTCAGTATCTAATGCTGTCCTGGGTCAGCCTGAAGTATTGGAAATTCAGAAGAGCTTGTGGGGGTTAGAGGAAATGCATTTTATTTGTTAAGCAGAAAATCAGGGTATGAGATGGAACACTAAGATATGCAGATGCCTGTCTTCTTTGTAGGAGAACCTGGGAAAACACACTAGATTATTTTAAAATTAATTCAGCCTGAATGTCTGCGGAGCTTAAATGTGGTCCTCAGGAGAATAAACAGTGCGTAATGTGAAACCAGAAAGGAGATAGGAAATGCACCCAGTAAAAGCTCCTTTCAGCCCAACTTCTGTACTGGAACATTCTAGTTGGTAGGATCTGAATGCAATTTGCAAAGATTAAAATCTGTTACAAGAAAATTAGCTGAAGCACAAGACTTCAATCATTTAAGAGGCTCCAGGCTTCTTCAGGCCTTGTCAACAGCGACTCCTCATCAGTGAGGGCTTGAGGACAGAGTCCAGGTCACTTGATAAATATTGATCATTTTGCAGTAAGCAAAACTTTCACATATATTAATTATTAAATAGCAAGTGAGAGTGGCTGCTCTGCATCTATAAACTATGAATTCAAAAATATTTCCAAATAGTTCTCTTTTGTAGAAGAATCAAAGATATGGTTGTCAAAGCACTCTGGGGAGTTTTAATTAGACATACGCCAAAGTGGCTGAAAACTGCCCAGTCCCAGAAGTGCCATGTGCCACAGCTGCCTGCTTTACTGACTGCTATGACCGTTTAAGCAGGAATTATGTGGGGATACCTTTTCAAGCCGTGTCCTGGGGTAAGGGAATGAGGGAGCTGGATCTTGGGGTATCTTTGCCTCAAGGATGCCCATTTTACAACAGTGTTTCCTTCTCTGCAATAGCCAAGTTGGACAGACAAGACAGGAGGAGTGGGGAGGGCCAGCCACAGCCCCAAGGCATCTAGGTCTGCACAGGAGATGAGGCTGAGTTACTCCAGTGGGGCACTCAGAGCATGGGAGGGAAGGACTCTGTGAGGGCTGGAAAGAGGGTAGTAGTGTCTGGATGCAAGTCTTGGACATCAAAGCAGCCTGGGCTTCGGATTCAGCCAGTGAATCCACCACTCTCAGGCCATGTGATCTTGGATGGTGACTTCATCTCAATGTCTCATCTTGGAGGTGGGGTTGCCGTGCAATTAACATCAAACTGTATAAGGCTGAACACAGAAAGGCTGAGGCTCACAGACAGGCAGAGGACTCTGAAGAGGGCTAGATGCTTACTTCAGCTCGGAAACACTCATGCCTGGATGATACCAAGTCCCCAGGGCTGCAAGTGCCTGGCTGGGCTGAGGCCTCCAGGGGCTACTCCAGGATAGCCTGGAGGCCACTGCTCATCCTCTTCCTGCAGTAATTTGAAGCAGTACCCTTGTTGATTAGAGGACTCCTGGTGGTGCCTGTCAACATTTCCAGCCCATACCACCAAAGTTGAGCCCTTAGGATTGGCCTCAGAGCTTGTGCTGAGAGGAGATTTCAGGTACTGGGGCAGGGCCATGAGGACCCAATGGTCATGAAGGAGAGAGAGGAAGAAATGGCCAAACCTTCAAACTACACACCAGCTTCCTGCTAACTCTTCATCCTGCCTCTTTTCTTTTGCAGAATCTCTCCTAATCCAGCTTCACAATCCCTGCCAGATGGGGCTTTCAAAATCCCATCATGATGGGGTTGCACATCCTCATCTCCTACAGAACCAAATCCACCAGGCCCTGTGGCCGCCATCCTCATCCCCCACAGAATCAAATCCACCAGACCCTGTGGCCTCCATCCTCATCCCCCACAGAACCAAATCCACCAGGCCTGTGGCGTCCATCCTCATTTCCCAGAGAACCAAATCCACCAGGCCCTGTGGCCTCCAACCTCATCCCCTACAGAACCAAATCCACTAGGCCCTGTGGCCGTCATCCTAATCTCCCACAGAACCAAATCCACCAGGCCCTGTGGCCACCATCCTCATCTCCTACAGAACCAAATCTGTCTGGCCCTGTGGCCATTCCAGGCTCTTCAGCCGCTCCCCACTGTGCCCTCCAGAATCTGGCCATAGCTGACTACCGATATCTCCCTGAGCATGGCCTGCTTTCGATGTCTCACAACTTTCACACATGCTGCATCCTCTCCCTGGAATGCCCTTCACTCCTTCCAAACAGAGCAGGCTCCCACACATTCTTAACATGCATTCCAAGTTAAGTACATTGTCTTCTGAGAAGCCACCAGCCCTGCCCACCCCTGCTTGCATCACCACCAACTTCCTGCACTGTTCCATTCACAGATAGCAGGGCAAGCGGAACCCAGCGGCCCAGCAGGTCTGGCTGAGGGCAGCAAAAAAGGTCCCTTGTGACGCCCACAGACTCTGAAGACAATCTCAGGCTTGAAGCCCATTTCGCCCCAGCAAAGTCAGCCCCATTCACCTCCATGGAGCCTGGCATATGCACTCATGACCCTGTTGTCTCCAATCTACAAGCCTACTTTGCACCTAGCCTGACTTGAGAAATAGCAGCCATCCCTCACCAGGCATATACCTAACTGTCCTCCCACACCACACACCCCCAGGCCTCTGCCTCTCAACTTGAAAGAGGAAAGGATGGAAATGTAGCCCCATCCTCTGGCCCGAGCTGGAAATCTGGCAGAGGAAACTGAAGGAGGCTTCTGCCAGGCACAGTGTAGAGTCAGCAACAGCTCACAGCTGGGGCACCTGGTGTTTCCACAGAGAGGGACGTGGGAGGAAGAACACCCTGTGTTCTCAAACCTGAGCCCTAACCTCTGGCCTTCTCCCACATGGCCACTTCCAACATAACTTCAATGACGAGAAGTAAAAGAGAGTTTGAACTACTTCATGAATAATGACCAACACGAGCACCTTGGGCTTGTTTGCTAACTTCTCTGTGACTCAGTTTCTTCATCTATGAGGTCAGGTGGTACCTGTCACATCTGGTTGTGGTGAGGATTCAATCAGTTAATATATGCCTGGCACATAGTAAGTACTGTATAAATGTTAGCTAGTATTCCTCTTGGGACAGAACTTTGCAGTTCACAGCACATGTCAAAAGTTACATAGACAGGAAGGGGCAGGAGTCACGAGTCCTTTGTACAAGTTCCCTTTCATTGAACCCCCCCCACTTTGGAGGACAAGCTGGGACTCACAGAGCTACCACCTGCATCCTCCACCTGTCCTCGGAAATGCTCCCATTTGGCTCCTGATCACCATCTGCTTTCCGGTGTTCACAAAGCCCTGGTTTAGGCTCTTGCTTCTGCTTTCTGACTAACTCCTAAGTCCACGGCCTTGTTTTGAACTTGCACTCAGTATTGACCTTCACCATTTGTTCAGGACCTAAGAGTCTCTCTAGGTCCTCTGATTCTGCATACCCACACCACTGTCAAAGGTGCCCTATACCCATAGATTATGATGTAGCTGAGACTCCCCTTAGCAGCAACCTTGCTACAGGGAGAGCAACTGGATGCCAGGATTGGAATCAAGGTATAGCCAACTTCCAAAGCTCCTTGCAGTACTCCAAGCAGCCTCCATCCTCACCAGGGGAGAAGCAGCTTGCTGGAAGGCTGGAGTTAGGGTCCCCTGCCACTCAGTCCCACAAATACAGGCATTCCCTCCTGAACCTCCCTGGGAATGTCCACCATGCACAGCCCCCAGGCAGCCGTGAGGCTCGGCAACCCCATAGGCTCCCTCACTTCCTGTTATTAACACTTTCCCTGCTCCACCTGGGAGGCAGGCATCCCTATCTGTGGATGCAAACTGATCCTACCTTAGCAGACTTTGTGGTGGCTGGGAGACCTCTGGGCAGAGACAGAGGTTCTCCTCACAGCTAGGCGTCTAGACTCTTGGCCACCATTCTATAATGGGAGTTACTAGGGGCCAGTGAAGAGCAGGAGGTCAAATATAGGTCCCTGAATTCAGAGATTTAATAAGGGAATGTCCCATGGTCACCGGGGTGAAGACTGCCTTTCACCAAATGGCCCCAACATGCTGCCTGGCAAGAAAACCTCTTCTCCCAGTGACCCCATACTGGGAGGAAGGCAGAGGGGGCGGCAGATCAGAGACCCCACAGTGTCTACACCTGGGAGACCGGGGCTCCATCTTGTGAGCAGAGGCTTATATAGGATAAATGAGAAGGTTTAAAGTCAGAAAGACCCGAGTTGAAATCCCAGCTCTGCCCCTAGCTGTGAGACTCTGGGCAGGGGACTCCCCTCTCTGAGCCTCAGTTTCCTTATATATAAAAATTAAGTACAATGATAAAAAAATTATTAGGATAATAAAACAACAACAACAACAAACTCCCTCAGAGCCAATATCACAGGGGTCAATAATAACACGAGACCCACAGCAACGGCAGAATGCTCATTAAATCCCCGAGAGGCGCCTGCAGTCACAGCCTCACTACTGCCAGTCTCTCTCTCCTCCCTGTCTCCTCCATCCCCTCCCTGGCCCCTGAGGCCATTCTCCTGGTTTTTCATCACGGCCGCTGGCTGCCACTGTGCTGGGCTCTGGGGCTGTTACCTGAGAGAACTGCCAGTGAAGCTTCATCCTCTTGGCTTTGGCGTAGCTGCACTCGATCAGCCGGGGCCGGCTGTTGACATCCACCAGGCACCGGTTGTCATCGTCATCCACGGTGGGGCTCAGGATGCCCACATGGATCTGCTGACTGCTCGTGTAGTACACGTTCTAGGGGGCAGGGAAGGAGAGAGTGTGGATAAATGCCAACGGCCGCAGAGGTGAGAGGGGTGGCGATTCTTCCGGGCAGCTGGCAGAGAGAAGGCCACAGTTAGGGAAGACCCCAGAGTCTTCACATCCAGTGGCCTTCAGATTATTTTCTATTGCAATGGACAAGAAGAAACCCTTTTACATTATGATCCAGTATGGTATCTGGTCCACCTGCATAACTACAAGAAATAAAACACCCTTATATATGTGATATACTGTGATAATTTCTATTCTAATCTTTCATTGGAAGACATTGGTCATAACCTTTTACATTTATTTCTTCACCCAGTTTACAAACCCTTCTTGAATCCATTATTTACAGACTCCCCGACTTCCTCCCTTCATAAATATTTCATGTCAGATACTGTGCTTTGTCAGAGCAAAAAGCCTGGACCACGCCTTCAGGGAGCGCAGAGTCTTGTGGGATGGGAGATGTGAAACACATGCTTTTCATGCACGCTAAGACAGTGCAGGGCAGGAGGTGGCAAACTTTTTCTTAAAGGGCTGGATGGCAAATGTGTTTGGTTTTGTGGGTGTGCTGGGGAGTCCCCAAGATCACCCCTAGGCTGGATGATTTTCTGTGGGGACTCACAGGCCTCAGCACACAGCTGTACTCACTACTATGATTTATGACAGCAAAAGAATAAACAAACCCGAAAGGAAAAGGAAAAAGGCTCCTGGCCAAAGTCTGGGGAAAGCAGACTCCAGCTTCCGAGGTCCCCTCTGGGGAGCTGCACAGGACACGCTCAATTCCTCTGAGCTGTGACAACACATGGGAAATGCTGTCTACCAGAGAAGCGCATTAGAGATGCAGTGCCCAGGGCTTTTACCGGGGCTGTCACGTAGGCAGGCTCTGCCTGGTATGCACCAAAATCGCAGACTTCCAGAAGGAAAGTGGGTGGTAAGCCGAGGCGGTGTTGTTTGTATAATCAGGTTAAGCGTAGGGAGCTGCTCTTATCAGTTCTGCTGGGCATCCTCCTGAGACCCAAGGTCTTAGATGCCACCCTTGTAAGCAAGCCTTTCAAAGGACAGCAGCCCGCTTGCTCTGCAAACCCCTTTCTGCACAGAGGACCATAAAGCCTCTGAAAATTTAACTCCCCTACTGTAATGCAAACACCCCAGAAAATAAACAAGTGGCTATATTTCATTAACACATCATTTACAAAAATAGGACTCTCCCACAGGTGTGGTTTGGGACTGGTCTACAGGAAAGCCACGTGACTCTTGGCCTTCAATATTTTCACCCCTGAGCCATGGTTTCCAATCAGGGTTCCATGTGAAAAGTCTTAGGGTTCTGCAAACTCTTTGCCTCACATTGCTAAAGGCATGAACATGCTGCCACCCTCATCCTTAGTCTCCTCCTGCCCCAATGATTAGGCCCCAGAAACAAACCAAGATAAACTTTTCCACTTTAGATTAGAATATTCAGGGTGTTCTCTCTGATTATCTTGACATGTTAAAAAATTCTCATTGGCAAATATTTTTGATTAATTCATAATGGTAAAATGATGTATTTCTTGCTTTAGTAAAAGAACAGGGTTGCCAAGTACTCTTTAAACCTGTGTGCCAGGCCATAAAAAGGGACAGAAGTGGAAAGAAGGCAGTGCAGGTTAGGAGAGTAAGGGTGATCCTTCACGGGGATTCTTCCTGATGCTCAGAAGTCTCTTTAGACTCTTGGGAGGGGATGGAGGGCAGGCAGGGTGTTCCCTTAGGCCAGTGTATCAGTCATGATTTCAACAGGGAAGAGATGGCCCACTGTAGCAGGGAAAGAGGCGTGTGTAACAAAGGCACCTTTTTCAGAGGTGTGGGTAAGGTTTCAGGGAACTACAAGGGATAGGATGATTCCCTGGGGAAAGTAACATGAAGCCATTAGTGCCCCTGTGCCCAGTGGAATGAGAGGACAGAGCTGTCACTAGAACCTGTCAGAGAAAAGTCACAGAGAGAAAGCTGAGAGGAGGGTTGGGGGGTCATGGCAAGTAATGCTGAATAAACACCCTAAGTTCACTCTTTCCTCCCACTTCAATCTCAGGCTGGTTCAAGCCATTGGCAAAACCCAACTGGAAACCAGAGATTTCCATTGAAATGTTCCATAAAGTCAGCTTCTCAAGGTGAAGGGAGGTGGGTGGAGAGTATCCTTCCAGAGCAAAAGATGCTCATTACAGCTACAATCTGCTCTGAGGTCACCTTACAAGTTATCAGCCTTGGTGAACCCATGGAAACTGACATCAAAATGACTAAAATGACTGAGTCTTTCCCTAACAGAGGTGAAGAATCACAGTGACCAAAGTTCTGAGCAGAGACCAAATGTAGGCTGCCCAGCTTCGATGTGGAAATGTAACCAGAACAAGGGCAAGGGGACCTCTTCAAAGCTATCGCTAGCAAGAGGCAGTCTGCTCATCGGAATGCTGAGACGGTCCACTGTGGGGCCTGGATTTCCAGGCCACCACCAAGAAAAGCCAATGTTCTGTGGCTTCGAGTTTATTGGAGTTGAGGGAGAATCTGGCAACTGATAGGATGTAGAAAACTAAACAGTCATAGAGTCAGGCATCACACCCATACCTCTATTCAACTAGCAAGTAATCCCTAAGTTGTGATCTAGGGCTACGGAGATGAGAAAAGCTGTGGTCCCTGTCCTGGAGAAGCCATGCCGTGTTAGGAAAACCAATGAAGTATCAGAACATAATGAGCCCGATCACATGAATATGAGAAGTGCCCGGATTTCCTGCACTCACCTTCCCCACCTCTCACTACTTTGAAAATACAAATGAGAACTACCATCTACAAAAAGCCTTCTCTGATTATTCAACAGTGTAGGGCCTCAGCCTGCCGCCTGGGCCTCATGCCAAATGCCACCCACCTGTTTATGTCCTTGGGTTGACTGCGCCGTGACCTCCTTAGGACAGTGTACATAATCTCCAGCATGCCAGGACCCACATTTCCTGGGGTTTGGGAATGTGGGCTGTAAGACAAGGACAGCCAGGGAGCCAATCATTCCCACATTTTTCTTCTCTGTTAGAGCCCAACTCTGCGGAGCAGACTCCGCAGACACAAGCGGCCACTCAGGTAACAGCTGAAATCAGTTTTATCTACTTAGCTGCTGTGAAGAGTTTAGGGAGAGACGTGTGCACCTACTATCTGGTACAGCTGTCATCAAAGCCATTTATTGCTCCAGAGTCCGGGAAAATCATTATAGGGGCAGACAGTTGTTTGCTATTTTAAAACAAAATAACAAAGTACCTCTTGACTAGTGCTGGCAGATCACAGAGTGAGGTTTGGCAAAGAGGATTCTCTCAAGTCCTCACATGGACACCTCAGAAGCCCGGCCTAGTGGATTAAATAAACAAATGGCCCGAACACAAAAAAACGGAAAAAGTTTTGCACAAGATGGCCCCCTTTCAGAGCCTACAGGCCCAACAGGCATAGCTAAACTTTCTGAGCAATGGGAGCTCTGGAAGGTGTAAGGCAAGAAGTGACTTAAAACAGTGGCCTTCAATGGGGCTATTTGGAATGCCTGGGGACATTTTTGGTTGTCATGATGGTTGGGGGTGGGGTGGGAGGTGTCGAGTGGCTGCTCAGGGATCCTGCTCAACATCCTAAATGCACAGGACAGCCCCCGACAGCAAAGAATTATCTGGCCAAAATGTCAGTAGTGCTGCTGTTGAGATATCCTAACTTAGATTGCTTATAGTAAAAGCTGACCTGCTTTTACGTCTTACACTGTGCCAGACATGAAGTTTATCTCATTTAATCCTAGCAATGACTTTGTGAGGCAGATACTCATATTAGCCCCTACCTTATAGATGAGGAAGCTGAGGCACGAAGACCATAAGCAATGTTTCCAAAGTCACACGGTTGGTGAGCAGTAGCTGAGATTTACAGCAAGGCAGTTTAACTCCACAGCCACACGGGCAACCACTCACCTTCCTCGCCCTCCTCCCTGGGATCACTCCAACTCCAGCTCCAGCTGGGGGGCCGGGGGTGGGGACGGAAGAGGGCTTCCACTGTGAGCCCTTTCAGCCACAATGGGGGCCTGGACTAAGAGTACCAGAGAGCTGAAGGGGTCTAGAATAAAAGATGCTACGAAGTGCTGAGATAGCAGCATCCCTCCTGTAACTCCAGTGGGAGGCTGAGGTAAGCTGTTATCCTGCCTGTGGATCTTACAAACCCTGGGGCATAAAAACATCACCCCAGACCACTCAGGTCCTCCTCAGCTGCCAGTGATCGATTGGGCTCATTCTTTACTCAGCCCCACACAGCTCAGCAGGGCTGCACACCAGATTTCCAGCATTTCATTTTGATGCTTGCAGGAGGAAGGGCAAAATCACCTGCAAGGTAAAAGAGTCAACACATCGTACCTTAGGTCTTATGCTAGCGGAATTTTCCTCTCCTCCAGGCCAAGGGTACAAGCCGTGACTGAGAGCTAAGCTGGACAGCTGGGCAGGGAGACCACAGAACTCTGCTTGCACACTGCTGCCTTCAGAGCCACAGAGTCGAGGTGGGGTAACGTCCTCCAGGGCTAGAGGTTCTCCTCTGTCCCCTCACCTTGGGGGGCAAGGGCTCCCACCTGCAGGATGCCCTAGTCTCAGAGCCTGCCCTCCAGCCCTCCATAGGAGCCACCCCTCACATGTGTCAAGCCTCAGCTGGCTGACGGGAACTCTGCCACTGGGGGCAGAACAGCCTCAGGAGGGGAAGAGAAGAGAAGAGAGCACTCATAGTTTTGTACCTCTGTACACATGTCCTCTGCAACGTGTTTCCCATACCTGTGGCTACCTGCCACTTTTAAGGATAAGGAAACTGAGGCTATGAGAGTTTTTAAACACTTGTGAAGGCGCACAGGTAGGCAGTTGCTCTCTCCTCTCCCTACCTAGAGAGAATTCCCGAGCAAGGCTGAGTTCTGGCAGTTCAGGGCCTATGGCCCCTTACCCATTCCTCAGAAGGCCTCTCCTCGGCAGCACTGATGG